AAGATTTTGCGGACGTACACCATTAAAAATGCCATAGTAACCATACACTTCGTGATTGCATCACTCCGTTCCTGGTAAATGTATGACATTCCATATATTTATCTATAAATAGTACCCACAATCAGAGGTGGTTAGTAACAATGCTAATGAAATAAGCACTTTGATACTGTGCGAATGAAGGAAGAATAAATAATTTGTTTACCAGTTAATAAACATAAGAACTCGAAATCTTAGAAGAATTAATATAATCCGAATTAAATATAAAGGTATAGTGTATATCTTTGGCAAATAAGCTCATATTTCAGTATTATGAATTGAGAAAGATATATTAATACTAAAAATGGGTAATAAACTATTTTGCAATGATGAATACAGTTGACAAACGTTATAAAGGCTTCAAGATATTCGAATTCTAACTTTTTTTAAACCAACTATTATTTCATCATTATAAATTTAATTATAACGAACTTTTTTCTATCAAGTGCTAGTGTTACATAGAAATTGCCTCCTGATATCCCTATGATTTTTGTACATTGTGAGCGTGGGAACTGATCCAAGCTCGGGAAATATGGGAAATACGGATACCAATCAAAACTAAAACTAATCTAAACAATACTCTAAACTAACTAAACTCTATCTAAACCCTAATATGGCAGGCTACGATCGAGGCGTGGTGAGACTTGGTCCGAGTATTGGGGTCAAATAGAGCTCTGGATTACGTCACGAGACTCTGATTTGGGATCACGGGTTTAGACTACTAACTCTATGCGAATTTGATTTTATCGGGGGGTAATTGAACCGAAACTTCGAAGTCAGAATGCTAGACTCACTATGAGTCGTACTCGAATGAGTTTTACAAACTCTCACTAAGTTCCCTTTTATTGAAATGAAAAGATAGGTCTTAAATACTTTTAGACCACTACTGCGTACATAAGGGCTGTGTTTGTTATTTAAACTACTTTCACTATGTCCTCTATAAATATATATTAATTGTACGAATTTGAACGAAGTTGAACAGAATCGTACAAAATTGTATAAATGCCTTCGTACAAAATTGTATGACTGCCTTCGTACAAAATTGACGACTGCCTTCGTACAAAATTGAACGAAATAACTGTGCCGTATACCAGTATATATGCATCTAATATTCTATTGTCACGGGTTAATCAGTGACTTTCGTCAAAGAAAAACCTAACCCGGATGGTAGGCACTATTAATTAGGCACCAAACGAACAAACTCAACAAGGCAAGTGTTTACTTTATAACTCAAATGGACTTTATTTATTAATGGTTTTAATTTATATTATTACAAGAGCGAAACTTCTAAACTAACTCTAACTTAGCTCTATTATTACAATCTCTTCGGCTATATACATACTTCGGGTCACATTACTTACATCATAATTTACTCATATACAATCATACGATCGTTTGACTCTTATATTACTCATAAATTACTTCATATTTCATGCATACTATTTCGGTTTCATAATTGATCATTTACCTGATCTCATAATCCCCGATCGATCATGTGCATCACGTGCACAAGTCATTTATCGATCGTTTGCTTATTGCCTTATTTTCCATACATGTTTCCTGCATACTGTATTTCACCATGTCACTATTTTAAGAAAAATTTTACTCAAGCCACGATTTTACCCTGTCACAACATGCTACCATGGGATATGCAGGGATATTATAAATTTACCTCTGTTATTTTGACAAATATGATGCATGTGCCAACAACTTAAAGAATAACTTAATTGGCATGGTGTATAGTTGCTGCAGCAATGATATTTTTGAACCCCCAAACCATCGATCGTTAATGATCGAAGGTTAATCATCCTACTAATATTTGTATTGATGCCCAATCTGTACTATTATACATAGGTGCCTATTGCCTTAATTGTTACTCCTATATGCATCACTTCTAGTTGCTATATCGGACCTTATAGTGATGGTGTGAAGATTAATATCAACGCATGTTGCGATGTCAATGGAAGTTCTGAAAGGGCCTAATAGCTGCTGCGTCAATGATCACCTACTGAATTGACTTTATTATCTCAACAAAAAGTCTTATACAGCTTGTGTCATCCATGCAGATAAACAAGAAATGAATAAACTTAGGGCTTTACACGAAATTATTATCCTAATCGTGATGGATCAAGGCCCATTGAGAATAAAGATCTGAAGCATATGCATGAAATAGTGAAGGAGTTGGTGTTGAAAAGAATGGTGGGATGAGTCATAGATAAATCAATAGATAGTAATAGAATCGTAATCATCTATTGTAATTAAATATATGGCTGCAATTGTTATTTAAAGGCTATGTTTCTGCCTACAGATAGTTTCTTTAGACTTTGATCCTCTTTAACAGATAGATATCTTAATATATCTACTTCCCTTAATAGCCACTTTGAATTATCCTTTGTAAAACTAATAACTGTCTTTATACAGTTATTCTTTTGTTATTAGTAAATAAAAACTATCTCATGTCTTTATACATGACTATATTGTATTCATTGTTTTGTTGGATTCACATAAGACTCATGATCCCTACTATTGTGCAGTCATGTGTGACTCATGACCTTTTATTTGTTGCAACCCTACATATCTTTATATACATTCATGTTGATTGCCTCTTTCATCAAAGCATTATTAAATCCTCTTGCCTAAGTCGCCCACACAACACCTCCTTTACCCAGCCAAATCAGATTATTTAGTTTATCAGTAACTAACTCTATAGTTCCTAGAAGTTGTATTAGAGATTAACTTTAGGTGTAACACCAGTTCATTATAAAAAGTTAAAATTATTGGGCTTATAAATTTTAGCTTTACATTACAATATATCTGAGGCTGATAATTTTTTTTTATTATAGTTTCTTTAATAGACTTTTCAGATATATGTACCTGGTGATAATACAAGCTATCAGTTAATTTTTCGAATATAGTGTCAAAAAAAAAATTGAACCTATTAGAAGTAGACATGATAACAACAAAGTTAAATTTACAAAATTCCTAAAATAAATTGCACCTTTTAATTATTAAAATTATTTTTATTACTCACTTTAATAATAATATAAAAAAAATTTATAATTTACTAATTATAATTTATTATAATTAACTCTTTGTAAGAGAACCAAGAAAAAGTGTTTACAATTGCATTTTATCTAATAAAATAAATACAATATTTTGCAAATACACTAATTAATAACAAGTTTACTAAAATGTACCTAAGGTGTTCAACATTATAGGTTCTTATTTCTCAAAAATATACTAAGTAAACTGGATTAAATACTCTAAGTAAAATGTTCAGGATCCCAAAAATTTATAAAAACTAAAATTAAAACCTTATATCTAATATATTATAATATATATAAAAAAAATTCATAAAAATGCACTCTAGTCCAAATTTTATTAAAAGCAATTATATATGGTGTTGAACACCATAGATGCATTTTATAATAATTTAATTAATAATAATTATTCCTTGACATGTTTGTTAACCCATTCTCTGGCTTTTTCCAAAATTTCAGTTAAAATTTGTTTATCAACAACTTCAGCTGTCAAAACATTTCTAGTTTTTTCATAAATTAATTCACATTCTTCCTTAACTTCTTTAAACATTACAATTTCAAAATATGCTATTGCCAATGCTGAGCATAATACTTTCTCATTCTCAATTCCAATTATTGAAAAATCATTAAAATCTTTTTTACCAAACCAAGAATAAAATTTGGTAGTTGGCAAAAAAGAACCATCATATGATTGTAATTCAAGAAAACTATAAAGAGTATCTATGCGTAGATCATCATCTGAAACAAATTCTGATATTATAAAGAAGTTGTAAAATAGTTTAAATAAAATAATTTAGTATTACAATTAAAATTTGGTTAGAATTAAAAACCTTAATATACAGAAAATAAATATAAATTATAAATTATTGAACTTACCACCTTCTAATTCATAATAATATAAAATTAATAAGTCACAATCTTTAGACTTTTGAATAAAGTTATTATAAATTATAAATTATTGAACTTACCATCATATAATTCATCATGTACAATTACACTATCTATAGGCTTTCGAATAAAGTAATTATAAAAAAAGCCATTAGTTTTTGTAGGTATAATTCTAAGATTTTTAGATTCGGCAACAGATCTATTATCTCTTTCGTCAATTGCAAGGAAACTAATTGTATAAAAGCATGATAGTTATAATATAATAATAAAATATATTACAGTAAGATTATTTTTTAATAAAAAATCACCTAGTATGTTTAGAAGCCAAATTATAGATTGTTCCTAATTTCACAATTTGCTCTCTAATAAACGAATCTGGTATATTTTTTTCATTATTTCTTGGATGCTTATGAATAAATGAAGTACCATCATCAAGATCTTGAATAAGTTTCCTAGCTGCAAGTGCGTGTATTGTTGATCCATTTAATAATACAGGATCTAATGGAATAGAGATCTTTATTGGACCATCATTAGACATTGCAATCAATGTAATTTCTTCGCGAGCTTCAATGCCTTTTTCTAATAAGCAATAAACTATGAACCGAACACCAGAATAAATTGGTGGAATTAAGAATGGTGCTTGCTGAATTTTTGTATTAATGAAGGTGTTTTGATCGGCTGGTGAATATATAGTATTATCATTAAAAGAACTAAATTTCTGATTGGTCCAAGTAATATTATAATCCTTAATAGAAGGCTTTATAGCATTTTTCAACATTTCAAGAATTTTTTTATCCATTCGTTCAGTATTTGTAATAAACTGTGAGTATCCTTTACCAACTCGGGAAACAGATTCAACTAAATGATAAGAAACTGAATCACCAATTCCTATTGAAAAGATCCTTAAATTATCCTTTTTCTTTTCTTCACAAGATTTAACAAGTTCAATAATTTGATCAACATTGTCAACCTGACCATCAGTAAGAAGAAAAACAGAGGTTGGCATATCATTTCTCAAATTTTCGAAAGCCCATTTTAAAGGGGCATAAATTTCAGTTCCACCATAATTTGCTGACATTTCTTGAGCATGTTTAAGAGCTTTTGATAAAGTTTCTTCAGAATAAGGGAGACTCTTTTCAAATAAAGGGTCAAAGTTAAATCCAAATGATATGATATTAAAGAAACAATCTTTGGGTAATGAACGAAGTAGCAATTTGAGCGCATTAGATGCTTTCTTAATAGGTCCACCCTGCATTGAACCAGATCTACGGAAAATATTATAGAATTAATTATTATTTTTACAATATAATAATGTTTATTATTATATTTTCGTGACATACCTATCAATCACAAAAATTAATTCTGTCTTAATTATATTAATAGATAATATTGGTACTAAAGTTAGCATAATACAATTAGTTCCTGTCATTGAATCGTATTCGATAAACGCCCTTAAATTAGAAGTACATATATAATTAATTGGATGGTATAATTAGAAGAAATAATAATAATACATGTATATTGTTAACATTACTACCTTGGCTGATCAAGACCCAAACTTTTAATAACAAGTATAAAATCTTTTTCCAAATAAGTAATTTTGTCTTTTAGAGTAATCCTTGAAACATTAGGATTACCATCAACATTTAACTCAACTGAAATGTTATGCGATGGTGATTCGATACTTTGAATGGCTGAACTCATTCTACATGTAATAGAAAGGTCTAGCAGTAGGAAAAACAAATCGAACATTTTCAATTTCTGAATTATGTTTTAGTTCAGTTGCATAAGTTATCCTGATAACAACTGTCTGACCAGCTTCGATATTACCAATAGAACATTGGAAAATATCAGGAAATTGTTCTTCGAATAGATAAGCCCCATGACCTTGCTATATAAACAATAATAATATTAAATAATAATATTAAATACATTATAAACAAATTATAAACAAATAATTTATAAATTTAAAGATTATTACCTGAATGGCTTCATCATATTCTTTTGCAGCTTGCTCAGCCTCTTTAACTATTCCTTTAACATTCCTATTTCCATCAATTTCTGCTTCAAATCCACGTATAGCTGCGGCCTCAAAAAGTGGAAATCTGTAGATGGCTTCAATTGTGTCATGTTCAACATTTTTATAGGTCTGACAAACCGTAACTAGATTAAAGAATAACATTAATATGACGAATATAGTCATTTACAATTTTTTTTTTTAAAAAAAAATGCAATTACCCTCAGCTATCATATCAACGACTGATAAATTTAATGAAAAAAAAAACAGTAAATAAAAATCTTATTTGCAAAAAACATAATGTTTTAAGTAAAAATATTACTGTTTGCTTCGGCAGAAACATTTTGTAAAGGAACAGGCATTGAATCGTTTGCAGCGTAAAGAAGTCCGTACGCTTGCATCTCAAATTGATTGCAAAAAATGAAAAATGCGCACACATGTATAAAATTCATAAAGCTAAAGGTATTCATATTTTGAAAGATATAAAATTTTAAATCTCTAAATCTCAGGTTTGAGATTAAATATAAGAAATGATTCCAATTACGTATACAGTAGATCGTAATTCAAAATACGCAGCAATGTCTAGCAACATGATTTTGATTGACCAACGGCCGAGGATCTTCTTTACAAAATATAAATTTTTTAAAATAAGCCCGCATTATGGTAAAATTGGCCCAGAAACAATTTTTGGGCGGCTGTGATTTCATTAGTAAAATTCTGGCCTAATTTTTTGATCGTCGCTCTTAGCCAATCAAAATCTAGAATCTGCCGTGACATTTTTGTTGCGGTAGCTATTGTTAATGTCAAATACGCAGTATTGTCAATTTGACTAAGTAAGCATATTTTTCCGATTGGACATATGTTCAATTCCAATTGGATTATTTTCAATCATAAATGCCGTCATAATTGTGTCTATTGGATTAAATGGATATTTTTTCAATTGGAATTGGACATATGTTCAATTCCAATTGGACTATTTCCAATTAGTAATTCAAGAACACTGCCCTTAATTTAGCGAACTATAACGATAATTTTGGCTGATATATGTTGTACTGTCCCTAAAATGGAATTTCTGCTTCCGTAGTTATATGTTCTAGTGTTTCCAGATTAACCATAGCTGCCGCAACAAATTTGGACCGGCAGATCTTCGATTTTGATTGGCTAAGAGCGACGAAAAAAAGATTAGGCCGGAATTACTCATAATTTTACTAACGAAATCATAACCGCCCATTAAATGAAAATTGTTCTTGGGCCAATTTTACCATAATGCGGGATTATATTTTTTAAGAATTTCTATTTTTGTAATAAAAAAAATCAAAAAGTTAATTCCGGCCGGAAATTAGTAACCAATTTTGTAATGTGGGCCAAAATTTCGAAGATCCTC